CTCCCCTGGGAGCCGGCGTGTGGGGTCCTCTGTGCCCCTGCTGGGGACACGCAGGAAGCAGGCCCCCTCGCCCGCCGACCGCAGGGCAGAGGCTTGTCCGCGGGGACCCCTTCCCCCACATACGGCTGGTGTCCCCGGCACACGGGCGGCATCGGGCCGCGCCCTCCGGCCGTGCTCTCAGGGTTCGGAAAGCTTTGCACTCCCGTGTTTCTGAGCATCCTTCCTCCTCCTCCGCAGCCCCAGCCTGTGACCCCCTCCGGTCCCGTCAGGGGCTCCCCACTCCCGCCCGTGGTGCCGGGGTCACCGGGGCCCCCAGGGCCGAAGCACACGGCTCGGCCCTTCTGGAATCTGCCCTGGAGCCTTGGGTGGACCACGGCAGGCTTCAGGATGCCCTCAAAGGGCCTGGCGCCCCCTTGCGGGGCCCAGGGGTCAGGCGCAGCTGCTCTGGGCGCCCAGGCTGGTGGGGTGACCCCAGCCAGCCCAGGCCTGCAGCCCGCAAAACGGAGCGGCCTTCCCCCAGCCCCACCCTTCACGTCAGGGCATCTAAGGGAAGGACCGCAGCTCTCCGCCAGGTAGGGCGGGCAGCACAGGCTGCAGGACAGGGCGGCCATCAGGTGTGGGTGGAGGCTGAGACAGGCCACCCCTGGCTCAAGCATCCCCGCGGGCAGCGGACCCGCAGGCCCCGCAACGACACGAGCTCAGCTTTGCGAGAGAGGGATGAGCTGAGGGCTGCTCTGATGGCAGAGGCTGGTGCGCACGTCCGGTGGGGACAGATGCAGGCTGTCGGGCTCTCTGGCGTCCCTCGCGGGGACAGGGTTAGATTTCCGGTGGAAAACGGAGAACGTGTGAGAAAACCAGTCGAAAGTGCTTGTCAGCAGCATGAATCTGGGCTCCACGCAAGTTGCTATGCGATTTTCCCTGGCTGCATTTTTATTAAAACCTTAAACCGGAATAAAGGCAGAGAGATACAAATTTATTTCTCTTCTTGAACAGACACCTGGCAACACGTCCACAGAACAATATCCATAATCACTTAGTCAAATTTCCATACCATTTGACTCAATTTTCTGGAAAGCAGAGGCATATTTTCAGTGCAGAGAGAGGCGTGTGTGAGTCACGCCCCCCTGCGCCCCAAGCCGCCCCCAGCCCCAAGCCCCAAGCCCCCGCGGAGCTGGGTGAGGCCGGCGGGGAGGCTGCGGCGGCAGTGCCCTGGCCCCGAGCGCCTTCTCCAGGCAGACAGTGGGATCTGACCCACTGTCCCCGGGGGCCCAGGTCCCAGGGCACGGCTTTAGCACCTGGCGGCCCGCTCTGGCCAGGCCTGGCGACCTCAGCCACCTCAGCCCCTGAACCTGGGTCACCCCGCAAAACCACAGCAATGGAAACACCTCTGGGGCGGCTGGAGGGGAGGGAAAGCGCAGCGCGGTCGCTGCCCGGTAGCCCCGGGGTCCGTCCCAGCCTTCCCGCCCCACACCCCTGCTGCCGCTGCGGTTTCTGACGCGCTCCCCCTTCACGTGGCTGTGGTGCCTCGTGACCCAATTTGAGTGCGACCGTGGCTATTTGATCAAAGGGCCCTTTTCCCAACAAGTGGGGATTTTCAGCTTGGCTGTGCCCTTCTGCCCTGCAAAGCCTGCAGGACACATCCTCCCCAGAGACAGAGAATCACACGCTGGGAATTCTGCTGGCGACATGGTCCAAGGCTAAGCCAACAGGTGGGAGGGTGGCAGGGCCTTCGAGCCCGAGGACGGCCTTCGGCCTTCAGCCTCGGCAAAGTGGCCTCCTGCGCGGGGGGGAAGAGGGCTGGGCCTGCGGGGGCCTGGGCAGGGGCTTCTCTCCACTGAGCGCACGGCCCCAGGACCGCGGACCTCGTGCGCCGGGCCCTGCATGCAGCTCCCCAGCTGCGGCTACCTAAAGCTCAGAATGATTACCACCTTCTGGGTGAAACGGTGACCCTGCCCTCCCGGGGCCGTGCGGGGGCACCTGCCTCCAGAGATGGCTCAGCCTGCAGTGGGCTCTCCCCTCCCCACCCCAGCACGGAGCCCCCCACTCCCCGAAGCCACTGCCGACTCTGGTTGGTGAGACCCTGCTCGGGGGTGACAGGCTGCCTGACCCTCTGCAGTCAGCGCCTCCGTCTTCCAGGCCCACAGCCCCTCCTGAGCGAGCCCCTCGACCCGGCCCGGCCCGGCCCGGCCCGGGCTCCTGTCGGAAGCGACTCCACGACCCACGACTCAGCCTGATTACCTGATGGCTCCTAAGTCAAAGGGCATTTCTGTCCCCAAATCTAGAGTGGCTTCTACTGAGGAGTCATCTCTGGAGAAATGCTTCAGATAAAGTAAAAGCAGGCTCCAAGGTCAAAAAGCTTCGGGCAGTTTCTCCGGGAGGTACACAAACATCACCATTTCTGGGAAACTCTGCAGTACGGAAACCTGCTTCAAATTTCTGACTGTACGAATTTTTAAACTGAAATTAAACGTATATCCTAAGAAGTTCCGACCTTCGCCCTGGGTCCATCTCTGCACAGCCAGCACCCCTGATGCCCCTTTTCTTCTAAAGGGACTCTGCACCCAAAGGAATCGGATGTGGGTAAAAACTGAAAGGATGCATCACGCAAGCAGCAAGGGGGGCGTTCCCTCTGAATCTGCACTGGAAGTTGCACACGGTCTGATTTCTTGGTTTCACTGATTCAATAATTCATATACTGAAGCACAAACTCTGCCAGCCCCGAGCCCCCGAACCTGGCGAGTGAACTATGTTTCTCCATAGACAATCAAGAAAGAACCAACACATCTGAAAGATAATTGCTTTTAATTTTCTAAGTTCTCACTTACGCAACATGATAAAGGCAGATTTATGTGACTCGATATGACATTTTTACAAAAAATGTCCCCCCAGCATCTGGGCAGTAGTATATAAATATTTACAATGAAAAAATAGGCAAGGAGACAGGAAATCTTCTTGTTCAAGACAATTTCTTTCCACTGCTTCTCAGAATCTTGAAAATAACACACTTCTTAGCCACGTCCGCATTTACACGCTGATTCAGCCGACGGTTCAAGAAATCTAGGCTTACGGGTGTTTCGCCCTACATTCACTCCTGCTCTCTTTCTACACTATCTTCCAAGTTACTTGAGAGTAAATTAAATATAAAAATGTAAACTTTGAAGGAAGAGAAAAAAAGAACACGTGTAAATGCACTGATAGAAAGGTCCTTACAGAGGTTAATATTTTCCAACACTAAAAACCAAAATAAAATGCTCTATATATTTCTTTAGTAGGGACATTTGGTTTCGATTTAATTTGATTGTATTAACAAAAATTGCCTCTAAAGAGGATGCCAAAAAAACAGCAACGATGTTACCATCCTAACTGATGAATATCCATCACCCTAATTCTCTCTAAAAGAAACTGGTTTTTTTCAAAAAGTGACAAATATGAATTACATCACGGAGAGCTTAAAAGCCTCAACAAAGTGTGGTATCTTTTAAATATGAAGACTTTGAAAAATAAATTTGAATAGTGCAAGCCAGCCTCTTTAATGTAGTGATATTACAAATATATTATAACCCCAACGTAGGAAAGCACGACTCTGCCGCCGCCCGACGCCAGGCTGTCGAGGTTGCCAGGATCAAGGGCAGCAGGCGGTCCCCGAGGATGTGATGCAAGCGTTTCCATGACGACGCCTCCAGCGGTACCTGCCGCCCTGAGGCAGGGCCGGGGCCTCACGTGTGGGAGCTGCGCCGGCCCCTGGCGCCAAGGGACACGCGGAGCCGCGGCTCCCGGGCGCGGTAATGCTCGTTGAAATCCAGCCTGAAGCTCAGGAAGCGCAGGCTCTCATCGGGGCTGGTCGTCAGCAACACCAGGAACTGCTGCACGATGCCCTGGAGAGACGCAGGGGGACACACGCCCATCTCAGGTGCGGGAAGGAGCTGCCCACACAACCGCCCCGCCTTTAACGCCTTCCGGGGTTATTTCCACCAACACCCACCCTAGCGGTTGTCCCCGGGACCAGAGTTCACGCAGCCAAGGGCAGCCCCACGGGGAAGAGATGCCCGTTTCCACAAATGCACACTCACAACAGTAATTTCACGGAAAAGAACTAACCAGCAGATTTTTCCCTTTTGCCCCTAAAAGTGCTACAAGAAGGAGCAAAGCAGCAAAGCAGGTGGTGGGAAAACACCCTATCTTTTAAATTCTGAATAGATAACTTCAGTGCGACACCTTTCATCTTTCACAAGTTATGAAAGAGTACTTAATCATGAAGCCCTGACGGGAGGACAAATTGAGGACAAATTGAGGACACCAGGAGCAGACACGTGATGTAAACCATGGCTCGGGGCCCCGGTGCCTTTGGGGGTGTCGGGCTGCGGTCGCCCCCGAGGGCAGGCAGTGCGGCCTCATCACCTCCTCATCAGGGGGTTTGCAAAGACGACGACAGGGTGTGAGAGACGTTCACTCAACTTTAACAGAACAGAATTCCCAACTGCTTCTGTCCGGGCTGAGTCACTGAGTGAGGACACCCCCCATCCCTGCCAACCCCCCGCCCGTCTCACGTCAGCTGACCGTCACCTGCTCAGGGGAAGCGCTCGGGAAAGCTCTGATCGGCAGAGAAAAGGTCACCGACACACCCTTGTCCATCCTTCCCGAACTCTCGGGGTGGACACTGCCCCCCACCCTTGCTTCTGGCGGAGCTCCTGGGAGCTGGGATGCGTGCAGACGCGTGTATGTGACACGAGTCACTTTACACTGAGCGAACACACTGCCTGCGTGCGTGTGCGCGCGTCACCGCCTCTCTGGGTGAGGAGGACTTGGGAGAAAGTCCCTAAGGAACCACGCTGCTCAAAACACCGCCAGGGCTTCTCGCGAGCGTGAAACTGAAACACGCCGACGAAGGACGCCTCCACCGGGACACGTGAGGACATGCCTTCCCGCGGGGCCGGGCCCAAGGCCACTCACAAGCAGCAAAGCACGGATGGCTGTTAAGACTCTATAGTGTTTCAGCCACCGACACAAAGAAGACAGCAAAGGACTTACGTGCTCAAGAAAAGAAGTCTGAACGGTAATGATTTACAAAGATCAAGGCTGTAATGTTAAGTAATGCTGGGATTACATTAAGCTTACTTTTTAAAAACTGTATTAACTCTACTGGGAAAACATGTAACCACCACTGTCCTTTTGGAAATCAGCACTTTGGACACATTTGAAGTTACTGAGTACTCCTCTGCAGCTAGGCAACATCTTAATTAACAGCACGAACCTAACCATGAGGCGCCCATTTCTGAGAATTATGAGCCCACATCACACATGCGACCTGGGTCAAGAGTGCTTCATCATCAAGACACCTGCCCAGTAGACAGTTTTGCGCTGGGCATACACCAGTCATTACCACCATTTATGACACATGTTTTCATACAAAAAGGTAACAGGAGGCCAACGCCAAAGTGAGGCCACTTACAAAAGGGACAAATTTACCCCTTAGTTATGCTGAAGAAAAATTCAAAATTAAAAAGTATGAAGACCTTGGGAAGCAAACTAGATGCCTAGGGAACAGGGTCGTGACGTTTCATTTAGAATTCTGAACCAATGAATACATAGCACAAAAACCTAATTTTTAAAGGTCTGGGGTTCAACGCTTGATTTGTCTAATTAGTTACCAGAACCGAGTGGAAGAACTCTTCATAAAATCCTTTCATCTCTATTTCCATCACTAAAATCACCTTGAGAGACATGAAATCAGAAACCAAACCCTCAAAAGAGACAGACAAAGCAGAGCGTGTGGCCTCCGCGGCCCAGCAGCCTGAGGCCCGTCCCGCAGCAGCTCCCCGCACGCTCCCTGCGTGTCCGCAGAGGAGGGGGCCGCAGAGCCGCGCCCACCGGAGCGGCCACGGGAAGGAAGGGCCACCAGAGGTCGGGCAGCACCGAGGGCAAGACCCCCACCCAGCGGCAAAGGCTGGACCGGCTGGAGCGACGCCCCCTCCGTCACCTGGCATCGAGCGCCAGTTACGGGAGGGGAGCAGTGTGACGTGGGCGGCACCCAGTCGCTGGACACGCACCTGGTAGAAGTGCGTCAGTATGCGCAGCTGCGAGCACAGCCTTGGTATCGACTCCTGGAACGCCCGGACCCTCTGGCTCTCCTGCTCTTCTTCTGCGGCCGTCACCCCCCACTGGCCCTGAGAGTCAGAGGGAAGCAAACGGGTTAGACTCTGCATGGAAGGCGCTGTGGGGTGGGGCTGAGGTGGGTGTTAGTGGCGGGGCGCCGACTTCCACCCCTCTGTGCTGCTGGAAACGTCCACGATCGTTTTCTGATGCCAAACTGTTCTCTAGCTTTATCTTTTTCAGTGAATAACGTACCTCGGAAGTATTTTACATCAATACACGTGAGTACACGTAGCGCTCCCTCACTGTCCTTAACAACGTTCATCGGCCACAGTGTTACATTCTGTGACACCCAACAATTCAGATGATTTCTCACAGCTCACCAGTCTTCTGCTATTAGAAACAATGCTGTAATAAACGGCCTTGTAATCTGTCACTTTGTACGTATTTCAATGCAGACAGTTTACGTGTCTGTAAACTGAACCTGACGGTTCAAAGCACTGGCACCCTCACACGTCGCACTAACTCCTGACCGGACGGGAGCTGTTCTTACCATTTCCCTTAGCCGTGATGCGTGCAGAAGACTGTTCTCAATCACTGGTGAAGCTGACTAGCTGCTTTCCAGCTATAGCACACGCAGGGATTATCACAGGATCATTTCTTATCAATTAACATGGTAAATTACATGAATAGATCTCTTGAACCCCTGCATTCCTTAAATAAACCCCCGTCTTGGTGAATTATTCTCTCAATATTCTGTCAAATGTTTCCACTGTACTTTCTGTAAGACTTTTTCCATCAACATGTACAACCTAGGTCTGGTATAAAGATTCTCGCATCTGGTGTCAACTTCACAGAGCTTCCCAAGCAGGCGCTGGACGCTTCCCTCCCTGTGACTGAACTGGCGCACGAGCACAGCGCCCTCCACGCCGCCGAGGTCCGGCCGCTCCCTTTCCGGTGGCAGAGCTGCTGATAAGCAACTTTGCTCCTCGCTGAGCCGCTGTTCTGCCTAGAATCTGCCCTCTGCCCAGGGAAAGCCCTTCATCTCCCTCCCGTGCGCAGGCTGACTTCACGGGTCCGAGCCAGACAGCAGGCGGCATTTCCGCACCACCTCGGTGTGTCTGTCTTCCCCCCACGGCCTCCCGGGCGGTGCCCGGCTTGTTCTGCTCCCCCTGGGCCGGGGACGCCCTCCGTCCACGCTCACCCTCATCTCACCGGGGCCCACCTCCTGCTGCCCGGCCGCCTCCGGGTTTCGCTGCATCCCCAGCAGCTTCAGCGGGCGTCTGGGTGACTCTCTCCCCGTTTATTTCCGTCGGCATGAGGGTCGTGCATTTTCAGAATCGCGTCCTGGGGCTCCGCGGCCTGAGAGACACGGGTCGCCTCTAGCGCCCCTCCGGCCCTCCCTCCGTGGCGGGTCCTCACCGCAACCCCATCTTCCATCACAAGCTGGCCCTGTCCTACTGCCTTGTGCCCTCGACGGCAAGCTGCTTCCCTCTGGACAACTTCAGTGCCCGGTGCGTCGTCCGTCCTTTCCACTCTGTCCTGTCTCTTCTGTCCCAGAACCTCCCGACCAAGCAGGTCTGCCCAGACGAGCCCTCAGCCGTGGGCGAGCAGGCGACGGGTCCAGAGGGCAGCCCCAGACCAGAGGTTACCCAGAGGCCTTTCCTTTCACGAGGTGGGTTTAGCCCCGCTGCCTCTGTTGGTAGGACAGACACATCTGGTCTCACTGTCATCTTACCAGTGAGATGCTTTCCGGTCTCCCTGACGGTGGTCATCTTTTACCACATGGTCTGTGTTTCTTCTGATTAACCAGGAGACTTCTGAGTCTGTTCAGTGGCGGCCTTTAAAAGGACACCTTCACAAAGCAGGCCGTCCCTGTGCTCTATTTCTTCAGACAGCGTTAACAACCAACCTGAGCGTGAATGATGAGCGCCCCCCCTTCTTGCTGCCTGATTTTAGAAGACATTATTTTCACGTCTATATCTTTTAATACATGTATACCTGTTTTACTTACTTCATGAGCTTTAAAAAACATCTTTCGATGCTGGGTTTTAAAAGATGAAGTAATTACTAAACTTACATTACTTTCTATTTCTTCTTCCCCTACCACCTTTTGTCTTTTCAAACACATTTTTTAAATATTCTATTTTACCGTAGTACAGTACATATAAAAAAGCACAAGAATTCTAAGTGGATAGCATGATGCGGTGTCACAATGCGGTACACGCCTCAGCTGGGCTGACATGCACGTTCACGTCAGCAGCACAGCGGCTGCGTCCAAACACTTTGTCTTATACTTGCAGCCATGTAACGATTTTACATAGCTAAATTCAATTTTGTTTTATAAATAAAAGCTATCCCTAATAATTAAAAGCAAAAACGAAAGCAATTAATCTAACTGGGTACTGAGCTGGTGGCAAAACCTTACGGGAATAGCTATTTCAGGGAGGTCACCTTGCGGGAGCGGACACGTGGCTGGGAAATCGCACGGCTGCTGCATGGTGGGGGGAGGGTCAGGATGCCTGTTCTGAGACTGTGGTGTGTACCGGTGTGTACAGGTGTGTGGGGGGGCAGGTGGAGTCAGAGAACAAAGAGCTGGGTGAGCTCCTGCTAGAAAACAAGATTTCCAATTGTGAGGCAGAAAAAAGAAGAAAGAAAAGGGCTTTAGCCCTAAATTTGAATTGGACATATTATCACACACAGTTTTGAGAAGTGGGAAGAAAGCAGAAAACTGAGGGCAGGGACTGAAGGAGGAAGAGGCACCCGGGAGCCCCTGCCCAGCAGCAGCAGTGTGGAACGCTGCGGCGGGGGCGGGCAGAGGCCCCCCACCAGGCGCCCTGGGCCCTCCGTGCCGTCCTGCACAGCCCCTCCAGCCTGCGGGGACCTCAGGTCTGATGACAGCGCGCAGATCACCCTGCCTCACGAACGTTAACCACTCCTCGGGTACACTCGCAGCTCTCCCCTCTCCCGCGTGTCCCGAGCACATCGGAACAAACACGCTGAATAACCTGCCTTATCAGGCAGATCTGCTCCGAGGCGCTGACGGGTAACAGTCTGGAGAGTGAGCCTGGGCGCCCCCAGAGCGCAGACTCACAGCCCGGTGATTCCCCAGAAGGGCAGAGCTCTGGGCAAGTGGGCAGTTTGAGAAATCACGGCCGTGGCTGGATTTACTGGACACTTAGCAGCTGACATACACCAGCACATGAAAATAAGGAGCTCCAGGGGAGTCTGTTTGTTTATTATCACTCCCATTCTACAAACCAGGAAACTGGTCTCAGAGAGGTCAAGTCAGCAAAGGCACAAAGCTGGTGACGGGGTCGTGGGCCTTCAGCCTGCCTGGTGCGCAGGCTTCCCGGGCCCGGCCAGGAGGCCCCGGGGGCCGGGGGCCGCCAACTCTGACATTTCAGCCACAAACCCCTGCTCCCGGCAATGCAAACCAAGTGAGCAGTACACCCATCTCTACAACACCCTGAAGGCATGACACATACACAATGCGCTGTGACCCTTCCAAGCTGACGATCCTCTAACGCGGACCGCAAGGGAATACTCAAAAATAGACCTAATCCAACCGCATCAACTGAACCATCTGTCTGTCACAACCCCAAGAATAAGCATCTTGAAAAAGTGAAAGACTGTACAGATTATACCCAATACAAGAAATCCCATAAAGACTCAAACTCATTCAACAAATCTTTGTACTTCAAGGTCACGAAGGACATGAACTACTCAGTAAGGTCACTGAAAATTGCCGACGTGCACAAATCCGGTTCCCACGGGTATACATGTGCCCACCAGCTCCAGGTGAGAGCGATGCAGAGTCGGGCACCACCCAGCGGAGACACCGCCGCAGACGAACGTCTCGACACTTAACTGAGGAACGCTGGCAAGAGACCAGAGCTTCCCGCGAACTCTGCCTTCGCTGGTTTTTAAAGCCGAGGACGGTGATGGTGCCCCGCTCCCTGTAAAAGAGTCCAGAGCCGCTCAGGACCCCAGCCGGACGCGGCTACGACCACGGCCTCAGCGACATTTCAGCGGCAGGGTCTCTGCTGCGCTGGTAGTCGCCGCGGCAACAGCTCACCGGCCGGCTAAGCGGATGAGCCCCCGCCCACCGGCACCAGAGGCGCCAGGACCGTGTACCTCGGCCCCACGCTGCTGCCTCTTCTCCTCGAACTGCAGGCGCCTCTGCTGCTCCTCCAGGGCGGCCCTGTAGATGGCGTCCTGAGTGTTCTGGAGCTCGATGATTTGATCAAACACGGCCCTCAGCTGGTTTAAAAGTGCCTGGGGAGAGAGGACAAGTTTTTTCTTTTCATGAACAGAGCCCCCAACACGCTTATTACTAAGTTTTTCAAATAAAATACTGACACTTAGTGAAATTCTCAAGGTGCTCTTTAGCTGTTCATTCATGCATCAGCAGACACGGACTGAACACCCGGTCCTGGCAAATACGCGAATTCTGAATCACCATAGCAACAGCAAGTGGACAGAGCCCAGGCTCTCGGCTGCATCACCTCCCATCCTCACCGAGACCTGGCAACCCAAGGTGCTGCCCAACTCCAAAGTGTGGAGCACGTAGCTGCATCCACAGTGGGACTGCTCAAGGATTAGAAAGGGATGGGAAAACCTTTTTTTTTTTTTTTTTTTT